ATCCCGTCCCTCTCGCTTTGCGTGCAAAGTTGTACTTGGTGCAAAGTTGGTGCGCTATCGAGTTGGTGCGCTAGCGGGACGTGAGCTATCGGGAATTGTATTCAATTTTTCGTGTGCTATCGCACCATGCAGTAACGGACCCTCCCTATTTTTGTTATCTCAGGCTCGAAGTCATTCTCGAGAAAGATAAAGTTGTCATTGTTATTGTTGACATGAGCGACCTTCAGGTCTCGTATATGTACGTGCTTTATTCATTTCCCTCGTTTGCTTCTTAGATCCATTATAACGGGTGATACAATTCGTCAGAACTCGTATGGCCCGCTAAATTTGGGCGCCAATTTGGCGTTGTACGCTTCGCTTTTTTTAGACAGAAGGTGGTCGCGCTTCCACACCCATTCTGCGAGATCATCCTCGGGGGAGATAAAGTTGTCATTGTTATTGTTGACATGAGCGGCCTTCAGGTCTCGTACATGTACGTGTTTTATTCATTTCCCTCGTTTGCTTCTTAGATCCATTATAACGGGTGACACAATTCGTCGGATATCGTATGGCCCGCTAAATTTGGGCGCCAATTTGGCGTTGTACGCTTCGCTTTTTTTGGACAGAAGATGGTCGCGCTTCCACACCCATTCTCCGATGCTCGATTTCCATGGCCGGCGCCGGAGATTGTAATGGCGTTTTTGGCGGTGAAACGCCTGTGCGAGCTCGTATACTCCGTGAGCTTTCTTCGGAGATCATCAGGAGCATCGTGCTCCGCGGTTAGCTGGTCGATGTCCTCCGATCCTTGTAGCTTGCGCCCGTAGTTCAAGAAGGCTGTGTATCCGGTAGCGTCGTGAAGGGCCGTATTGAAGGCGAATTGGAACGCCGGAATGTGCTCATCTTATGGCTCAGCCCGATGGTTCTTCTTTAGGTACTGCGTAATCATGGTCTTATGTCCGGTTGGTCCTTTCCACCGGATTGCAGTGTGGAGAGTAAGCTAAAGCAGTCACATGTCGTATGTTCTATGCCCGTAAGCGTTCCTCCAATTCGTTGGACCTTAACTGGGTGTCGTTATCTAACAGCACAGAGCCTGGTTTGTCGTGGCGCAAAATTATGCGCTCGGTCAGCGTTTTGATCACGACGCTTGCTGTAGCTCGGCGTAATGGCACCAGCTCTATCCATTTCATGAATCGATCTTGGAGCATGAAAAGCCACGTATGTCCTTGGTGCGAGCGTGGCAAAGGTCCGACTAGATCCAAGGTCACTTGTTCCCAGGATCGATTGATAAACGTCAAGTGGAACATTCCGGCCGGTTGCTGTTGGCCTTGTGCGTCTGGCAACTCTTGCAAGTGCGTACATAGTTCGCGATGTTGCGAAACATCCGGCCAATAATAGGTTTCGATGATCCGGGCGATCGCTTTTGCGATGCCCATGTGTCCGGCGGTGGGGGTGTCGTGGTATCAGTGTAAAATGCTGTTTCTGGTCTCCTTTGGTATGCAGAGTTTCCACTGTTCCTCTGCTGCAGTATCTTTGAAGTTGAGGCTGTGATAGAGAAGGCAGTACAACTTCCCATCCTCTATGCGATAGTCGGCGTGTCCGGTAGGGTCTTATTGCATCCTCTCGTATTTCCGGCAGTACCAAGCACATTCCTAGCGTTTCGCGGCGCAGGTTGCCGGGTGACGCGAGAGAGCGTCTGCGACGCGATTAAGTACCCCGTGACGATATTTCACGTCAAAATCATACTGCTGGAGCTCGAATATCCAGCGTCCGAGGCGTCCGGTCGGAGACTCTAAATTCTGCATCGCTAGGCCTGGTGGTTTGTTACGACAGTGAAAGCGTAACCTTCTAAGTAACTTTTTATCCGCCAGACGCCCCACACGATGGCCAGGCATTCGAGCTCTGTGGCGCTGTTGAGTTCGGCCGCATTCAACGTGCGGCTCGCATAGGTGATTACATGTTCGCCTTTCTCCAACTTTTGAGTCAACACTGCGCCAAGTCAGTCGTGCTAGCGTCGGTCTGAAGAAAGAAACGGCGCGTGAAATATGGACATGCTAGAACCGGCGCGGAACTGAAAGCGTGTTTTAAATGGGCGAACGCGATGGCTTCACTTTCGCTCTATTTCCACTGGACGTTTTTCTTCGTCAATTGCGTGAGTGACGCGATCGTGGAAAAATTCGGGATAAAACGGTACAACGAAGGTATCCCCACGAATTGACGTATATGCTTAACGTAGTTCTAGTAGTAACTTAATTGTAGTTCAGGCCAGTTGGCTACGGCTTTGGATTTTCCCGGAGTCGGTCTGAATTCTCTCACGAATGACGTGTCCTAGGAACGTCAAACGGTCAACAACGGAAACGGCACTTCTTCGGGTTCAGACGGAGGCGCGCGTTACGAAGACGGCGGAAAGTCTTCCTAAGCAGCTCGAGATGTTTGTCGAAAGTTCGGCTGATTATGATGATATCGTCCAGGTAGATAAAAACGTGTGGTTCTAATTCGGACTCTAGAACTATGTCCAGTAATCGCTGGAACGTGGCCGGGACGGAGTGCAACCCGAACGGCAAAACTTTAAATTGATAGAGCCCCTTCCTCGATATCGTAAACGAGCGAGATCCGTTAGCGCACGGTGTGATAGCGCACGAATCCGATAGCACAGGAAAAATTGATCACAATTCCCGATAGCGCACCAACCCGATAGCACACGAATCCGATAGCGCACCAAGTACAACTTTGCATGCGAAAACATACACACACACGAGGGGGAGTGCAATGGGGGCCTTCGGCGCCCCCCTTCCGCAACCCCGTCCCCTCGCTTCGCATGCAAAGTTATACTTGGTGCAAAATTGATGCGTTATCGGGACGTGGGCTATCGGGAATTGTGTTCAATTTTTCGTGCGTTATCACACCGAGCGCTAACGGGACCTTCCCATCGTAAACGCGGTGATCGGCCGGCTGTCCGGGGCTAATGGCACCTGTCAATAACCATTTCTCAAGTATAAAGTAGAAAAATATCGGGCCCCTCTCAATTTGTCTAAAGTCGCGGTGATCTGCGGCAGCGGGTACGCATCTTTATGTGTTACGTCATTGATCCGGCGGAAATCGATGCAGAAACGGTGCCAACCATCCTTTTTCTTGACGATCACGATGGGCGAACTTCATGGACTGTATGAGGGCTCGATGACCCTCTGGGCGAGCATCTCGTCCACTTCGGTAGCGATAATTGCCTGCGTCGCCGGGTTGCGCGGACGATATCTTTGCTTAGCGTGTCGTCTTTCAGTCGAATGGAATGTTGAGCTCGATTGGTGGGTCCCTTCACGGTTTCGAATTTCGCGAGTTCGCCTCGTAGAAATAGCTGAAGACGTTCGTCTTCCTCGGTGGTCCTTCCAGCCAGGCCTCCGATGCAGCAATACTGGCCACTAGAGCATCTGTAAAGGTAGGGCGTGCTTATACGCAGTTTCGCCTGCAAGTCCATCCCCATTAGTATTTCGCTTGAGAGGCCCCGAACTTTGCGTTGCCAAGTACACACACAGACTGTACCCCCCCCATCCCCCTCACCCCGTTGCAACCCTTGTGGAACCTTCCTTCGCATAAAAAAGTATATGTGCGCAATTGAACATGTGGGCAAAAGTGATGTGCGCAAAGAACTGTGGACAAAAGAACTGTGTCCAATTGAACGGTGGGCAAATGTAACGTGTCCAATCAAATGATGCGCAATTTTACGTGTCTAATAGCACGGTGCGCAATTGCAACGTGTCCAATTGTACTGTGCGCCAATGAGCCACTCCCCTTTGTAATCACTTTATCGGTAGTACTCAATGAGTTTAATAACTTTTGTATCAGAGTTTTTTTTAATTCAACCGTTGTCAAGGTATCGACAAAATAAGAATAAAAATTTGGAATAAATTTTTTTATTATTCCTACTGTACTTTTATTATTCTAACTGTACTTACTGTAGTAAGTGTTCAAAATGTGCACCACGTTGAGCCAGACATGCCTGTAGTCTTCGCGGAAAGCTTGCTTGTACTTTTTCTAACTCCTGTGAGGTTATTTCGCGAAAAATTATTTTAATTCTTTCTATCATATTTTCTCGAATGGTAGGACGTTGAAAATAGGCTAACTCCTTCACTCTTCCCCAGAGGGAAGTCCAAATATGTTAAGTCGGATGATCTTGCAGGGTGAGCTCAACAGAGTGTTTACAAACAAATGGATAGATAGTGGTGATTCTGTAATATCACCTGCGGGATCACCTGACTTAACATGTTTGGATTTTTCCAAATTTTTATTCTGACTTATTTTGTCGATATCTTGACAACGGTTAAATTTTTGAAAAAAACTTTGATACAAAAGTTATTAAGCTCATTGAGTACTATCGATAGAGTGACTACAATGTACCCCTTTCCATTAAAAAAAAAATTTTTTAAAATTCTTGATGTGAAAAACGGACACTCAAGGTTATTCAAGGGCATTAAAGTACGTACCCCTACTTATCCTACAATTTTCATAATGGATGTCTTCTACCTATCTCTTACCGTTTTCGAGAAAAACACGGTGGACGTTTTATCAGACTCACTCTATATGTATATCAATTTGCATTACATTTGATGATAATTTATTTTAAATAATAGTATGTAAATTCTATTTTAAATATAATTATATTTTTTAATTTTTATATTAATTCTATTTTTGTTATAAAATATTTAAAAATATTTAATTATTTATAATTTTTTTCTGTATTTTATCACATTTGAAAGTAGTTTCTTCACATGAGAAGTACAAATATATAAATAGACTACTCTGATAAAATTTAACTCTAAACAATTTTACATTCAAATAGTAACTGGTATTCTGTAAACAAGTTGAAACTCTGTTTGTTCTAACTTATAAAAACATGTACTATATCATCTTGTTTGCAATTACAATGATTATCCGCAAATGATAAAATAATAATAATAATGGATATTATTTTTATTCAAACTTTATTTTAACACAAAAGAATTGTAATAATAAGGATATTGTCATTGCCATTGTCAGATCTACCATAATGTTATACTATGCGTAAAAATATATTAAAAACATTTATACGTGATCAAAAAATTCATTTATCGTTGACGTTAATTATTGTTTATAATTTCATGTTTATGAAACAATGTTATTCTTTCTTCTAGTTGCAAGGACTGGTTGGTTGATTTGTGCCTGAAGATTGCAACATGATAGATTGTACAGATAGAGTGGATGATATAGTAGCTGCCGCCATAGAATCCGAATGATGGTGATGATGATACAATGCAGAAGTATAATACTGTTGATGATGATGATGTGCCAGGTGAGAATGATGTGAGTGAAGATAACTTGACGTTCTACGATCATTATTATTATCATTATTGCTGTTATTGCTATTATTGTTAGTGGAATTATCATTATGACGGTTGTGATGATTGTTGTTGATTGTAGAGCATAATGACGAAGTTGGTGAAGGAGATGCTGAAGAATTCTGTATGTTACAGTTGTTAGCCAGAATGTCGTGTACAGTGTGAGGACTTGGCCATTGAAGAACATTGTTGCTCGTCGTTTGATGTCCGCTAGTATGAACTGGTGGCGACGATGATGACAATTTACTCGCTGGTGATGGTCCAACTGAAAACGCAATAATAGCAAATAAATACATAATAAATACATAATAAAATACATTTAATTTAGATATCAACAATTAATATTAAAAGATAAAAAAATAGTACAAAACTTCCGAAAATCATCATGCTCCGATCGAATCCAATTTTATAAATAGGTTCCTTTTAGATAAAAAAGTAGGATATGAAAAGAATATTTTGACGACTCAAAAATTAAGAAACTTTTCAAGCATTTTTTCGTAAAAGTGAATATTACCTTTAGCCTATTCGAAACTATTTTCATTTGATCTTAATATTAAATTTAATTTCTAAGGACATATGTTAAAGTCACGACCTTAAATGAACGACAAAAGATTCTAGCCATCATTCGTTGTTTATTAAAAAGTTATAATGAAAAAACTTTCACGAATTATATCTAATTTTTAAAACAATAAGGGTGACAGACTCGAGAAATTCAAATATATAAAATTAAATTGACGGGCAATACGAGTCCGGTGTTGTTCTTGGTATACAAAAATTTTTATTATATAAATGTCGAAATATAAATATAATCTTATAATTACGTAAGTTTCGACTTCTTCTTCGGAGTAAATATTTCGATGAAGGGAGCCCGCCTCGATAGAAGTTTTATAAATAGAACATATTTTTCGGATACTATGTATATATAGGGTGTTCCATTTTAATGTCTCACCCCAAATAACTTTCTTATTTTTAATTTTAGGAAAAGATGTTTCAGACAAAAGTTGTATGGTTTCTAGGGGGACATAAGATGGTGCCATTAGTTTAACCTTGAACAGTCACATGAAGGTTACGTGAAAATCATTTTGAATTTCTTAAATAGAACACCCTATATATTTTTATATATTATTGTAGCTTATCTCGAGAGCTTTCCAAACGCTCCAAAACGCTTTTGGAAAGCTCTCGAGATATGCTACAAGAATATACAGGGTGGGGAAAAAGTATGGAAGCAAACAATTATTTCCGAAACTATTCATTTTTCGACAAAATGTCTTAGACATAATTTTTATGGTATGAAAAGATGTATTATGTGGCATAGACGGCATGACCTTGAAATGACCCTTACGAGCTGCATAAAAAATTTCAAATGGAACTCGTCAGTTTTTGTTACAGATTCTTGTAGCTGATGTCGAAACGTTTACAAAACACTGCATATGAGCCCCATTCCCTTAAAAACACTCCCAGTTACGAAACAATTGTGATAATTCGTATCAACGAAATTGAAAATAGACAGCGTACGTGTGATTACATGAATGTGTGTAACGCGACTGAACGTCATTATGAGAGATCAGTACAACAGTAGCGATTATTGCAACAAATGGAGAATAACCCGCTTCGATCATTTCTGCCGATACGAAAGACACGCGAAGTTCGTAGAATCAGTTAAGGCGTACATCGAACCGTACTCAAGGAAAGAGATTGCGTGATTCATCCAACCAGTTAAGGTAAGATAAGTGCGATTCATCCAACCAGTTAAGGTAAGATAAGTGCGATTCATCCAACCAGTTAAGACAAGATAAGTGCGATTCATCCAACCAGTTAAAGTAAGATAAGTGCGATTCATCCAACCAGTTAAGGCAAGATAAGTGCGATTCATCCAACCAGTTAAGACAAGATAAGTGCGATTCATCCAACCAGTTAAGGCAAGATAAGTGCGATTCATCCAACCAGTTAAGGTAAGATAAGTGCGATTCATCCAACCAGTTAAGGCAAGATAAGTGCGATTCATCCAACCAGTTAAGGTAAGATATGGGCCATTCAATGATCCTGTTAAGGTGAGTTATGTGAGATCATTCATGTTCATTGTTTAGAGCAGTTGCTCAAAATGTTCTCCTCTAACTGTCTGGCAAAGTTCTAATCGATAGCGAAAGTCTTCTACAGCTTTTGCACAAAATTCAGCTGGAATATTATTGGATTCGAAAGTAATTCGCCGCCGTAGTTCGTCAATGTTTTCTGGTTTCGAGACGTAAACTCGACTTTTCAAATATCCCCAATAAAAGAAGTCAAGTGGCCTCAAATCTGGTGACCGTGGCGCCCATTCGACAGGACCTCTTCTTCCTATCCATCGACGAGGAAACGTTTCATTTAAATAATTACGTACACGGACAGCATAATGAGGAGGTGCTCCATCCTGTTGGAATCAAACGTTTTCGAAATTCGCACCTGTAGCTCGTTGTATCGCCGGAACAATAGTAAGCCTAAGCATCTCTTCGTACATTAATCCATTCAAGTTACCGTCAATGAAAAAAGGTCCGATGATTTGGTTATTTATTATTCCAGCCCATACGTTGACTTTGTCACGATGCTGTGTGTGTTTTTCGTGTATCCAAAGGGGATTTTCACTCCAATATCTACAATTGTGCTTATTCACACTTCCGGTTATTTCAAAAGTGGCTTCGTCTGAAAAAAACTATTTTCTTATGCAAGTTGTCATTCGTCTCAAATTTTGCCAACATTGTTTCACAAAATTCAAGTCGTCGATCAAAATCATCTTCGGCTAATTCCTGCACAAAAGTCATTTTGTAAGGGTGAAATTTATTTTTTTTTAGAATCTTCGCAACTAATTTTTTATCGATCTCGTTATCACCTGCAGCTTTGCGTGTTGATGTATGCGGATTTTCGATGAAACTCTGCAATACTTCTACCGCTTTATCATCATTTGTTGCAGAAGCTGGCCTTCCTACTTTTGGCTTATCCTTTACGGAACCTGTTTCATTAAATCGTTGAATTGTCTTAGCAACGGTAGATTTTACTATGCTCGGTTGTCCGATTCGAAAAGTTTCATTAAACAAAACTGTAACTTCATCGTGAGTTCTTTCATTCTCACCCCAACCACGCATCATCAACAGCGATATTCGCTCTCGTTCTGTTAATCGGACCATCATGAAAATAACATTTGAAATTACAGAAATGAAAATCAGTAACAATTCCTATGATAGAAAACGACAAAAATAGCAAATTTTCAAAACACAATATCCGAAACTTGTATGCCAATTGACACTACTTTTTTAAGGATAAAATAAATGATAATAATAAATAAGGTAGCGATGATCAAGAAATCAAAAAAATTCTATGAATACTCATAGACAGTGTATCATATGACAACAGGTACAATTACATGTTATTAGTGGACGCAACTGAATGTCATGATGTGAAATCAGTAAGCAATGTCAATGTGCATACAAATTGTTTGTATCACAATTGTTTCGTAACTGGGAGTGTTTTTAAGGGAATGGGGCTCATATGCAGTGTTTTGTAAACGTTTCGACATCAGCTACAAGAATCTGTAACAAAAACTGACGAGTTCCATTTGAAATTTTTTACGTTATTTGTATGCAGCTCGTAAGGGTCATTTCAAGGTGCCGTCTATGCCACATAATACATCTTTTCATACCATAAAAATTATGTCTAAGACATTTTGTCGAAAAATGAATAGTTTCGGAAATAATTGTTTGCTTCCATACTTTTTCCCCACCCTGTATAATGAGAAAATGTAGGTTCTATTTAAGAAATTGAAGGTAACCTTCATGTGACCTTCAAATAAAACTCTCAAGATCAAATCAATGGTACCTTCTTATGTCCCCCTCGAAACCATACAACTTTTGTCTGAAACATCATTTTCTAAAATTAAAAATAAGAAAGTTATTTGGGGTGAGACATTAAAATGAGACATCCTGTATATTATGGGTCCTAATTAAGTGAACTTCGTTTCATTTTGAAAAGTACATGTGTGGGCACAGTGTGTTCCGCCTTCCTGCGAGGGGACTCCACTTTCAGAAGATATAACCTAACCCAACCCATGTCCATGGTGTGGGATATACTTCGCTTTGAATAGAAAGATATAAATCCATAATATATGTACATGGTATTCGAAAAATATGTTCTATTTATAAAACTTCTTTTGTTTATAACTTTTTAATAAACAATGAGCGATGGCTAAAACTTTTTGAATGTCACTCAGAAGGATGACCTTGACAATATATATCAAGATCAAGGTAATCAAGGCGAGTTCCTTTCATCGAAATATTTACCTCAAATAAATTAAATAAAATAAATAAAAACTTAAAACTCAATAAATTAAAAAGTAATCATTTCTTAAAAACTCATTTCCAGGCATCGAAAATTTCTGTGAGCCGTTAAAGGCGACAAGAGACCGACCAACATCTCAAAGATAAAGATTGATCTGTCTCCTCGAAATATAAATCTCAAGTTATGAGAGCGTCAAAGCGAAAATACAAACATATACCTTCGTGAGCATCAACAATTATCGGTTTGTGATGTAAACGGAATGACAATATTAAATTTTCGGTAACTTGTTTATAATATCTAAATAAAATTCAGATAGTCGTTCCGTATCCAGCTGTGTGAATTTAGTATCCCCAATTGTGAATTGTTATAAAATTCTGATAGCATTCGTTTGTCCACGATTTGTCCACATTTGTCCAACAAAAAGTTTTGTTTGTCCACGCACGGAAACATAGTTATAAACAATTAAAACGAAATAATTAATAATAATGGCTTTGCTGACTTCTAACAGCATTTTCTTACAATTGCATTTGGTCTCATCACTTCCGGGTTCCATTCAATGAAATCCAGATATTACAAAACAAAACTATGTTTTAAAGAAGTAAATGTTATTAAAAAAATATATATATATATATATATATATATTTATATATATATTAAAAATATATATATATATATACAGGGTGGGCCATTTTAAGCGATCCACTCCAATAACTTTTTTATATTTGAATGTACAACAAAATGTTTCAAATAAAAGTTGCTTGACTTCGATGGGGACAGAAGATGGGTGGCAAAAATTTGACCTTGGATAGTCATTTGAGGGTCACATAAAGGTTACTTTCAATTTCTTAAATGGAACCCCCTATTTTTCATTGCATACTCTTGTAGCTTATCTCGAGAGCTTTCCAAAACACTAGCTATAGTATAGTAGTATAAGCTACAAGAGTATACAATGAAAAATAG